CCCAGGGCCGTGTGCCCCTCCCCTGCAAGCACCAGCCCCCCCCAGTGCCTCGTGCCCCTCCATCATGGGCACCAGTCCCTCCCAGTGCCTCATGCCCCTCCCCCATAGGCACCAGCTCCCCAGTGCCTTGGGCACCTCTTCCATGGACACCAACTCCCCCCAGTGTCATATGCCCTTCCCCTGTGGGCACCAGCCCCCTTGAGTGTTGTGCACCTCTCTGAGATTTCTCCTGGGCCAAGGCCACATGCTGCCCCTCCCCCACAGGTGCCAGCTCCCTGGCGCTGTGTGCCCTATCCCCCCCAGACAGAAGTCAGTGCCACACGCCCCTCAGGTCAGCCCCCCAGGTAGTGCTGGGAATTGGGGTGCTCCTTTGTCGTGTTGCACCCTTCTTTACTCCTAGGGACCCGATGTACATCTGTCTTGTGCCCCTGCAGACTGGGGCTTTGCCTCCTGGCCTTCCCCCATCTCCTTGGGTTGTGCGGGGGCAGCCTTAGGTCCTGCCCCTGCCCCTGCCTCCAGCTCTAGCCCTAACCACTGTGCTGCAGTTGGGAAAGTAAGGCTGGAGGAGGGGGGCAGGGAGCTAGGGCTGGGCTGCCCCCTCACACTGCGCTGCCCCCTGCAGGCGAGAAGCCGTTCCAGTGCAAGCTTTGTCCCCAGCGCTCCCGTGACTACTCTGCCATGATCAAGCACCTGCGGACCCACGGCGGCGCCGCCCCCTATCGCTGCACCCTCTGCTGCCAGTTCTGCCCCAGCTTGGCCGCTATGCAGAAGCACATGAAGGGCCACTGCCCCGAGGAGCTGCCCTCAGACTGGACGATTGAGACCACCTACCTCTACTCCTGCTCCACCTCCTCCTGAGCCGCATGCGCTGGCCTACCCGTCCACCGGGGGACTTGTGGGCATGGGAAGACTTGTGCCTGGCCCAGGGACCAGCGTGGGCAAGTGGCGCAGGGAGCGGGCAGGGACCAGCGTGGGCAAGTGGCACAGGGAGCGGGCAGGGACCAGCGTGGGCAAGTGGCGCAGGGAACGGGCAGGAGCAGGCGTGGGCAAGTGGCGCAGGGAGCGGGCAGGGACCAGCGTGGGCAAGTGGCGCAGGGAGCGGGCAGGGACCAGCGTGGGCAAGTGGCGCAGGGAGCGGGCAGGGACCAGCGTGGGCAAGTGGCGCAGGGAGCGGGCAGGGACCAGCGTGGGCAAGTGGCGCAGGGAGCGGGCAGGGACCAGCGTGGGCAAGTGGCGCAGGGAGCGGGCAGGGACCAGCGTGGGCAAGTGGCGCAGGGAGCGGGCAGGGACCAGCGTGGGCAAGTGGCGCAGGGAGCGGGCAGGGACCAGCGTGGGCAAGTGGCGCAGGGAGCGGGCAGGGACCAGCGTGGGCAAGTGGCGCAGGGAGCGGGCAGGGACCAGCGTGGGCAAGTGGCGCAGGGAGCGGGCAGGGACCAGCGTGGGCAAGTGGCGCAGGGAGCGGGCAGGGACCAGCGTGGGCAAGTGGCGCAGGCTGTGCCTGGTGCAGGGAGCGGGAACAGCTGGCCATGGCTAGATCTGCAGAACACGGATTGCCCATCGCATGCTGCACACGGGGGGCTCCTGCCACTCAGCAGCTTCACTGGGGCAGGGAGCACCAGCCACTAGCCTGGCAGGGCACCCTGCTCACCAGGGTGGTGGTGGTGGGGACTCTGCCTGCCCCAGGCTGCAATGTCCTGGATTCACAAGCGGCAGGGGAAGGCCTGCCTTGATTATCATGGGTCATTACCTAACATGGGGGAGGAGGGGTTCGTTAAACCAGCAGTGGGGTGGGGCTGCTAAAGTGAGTGGAATAACAATCAGAGAACTGGGAAATTACCCAGGGAGAGGTGGGAGACTGGCCTCAAGGCAGAGACTAGAACAGGGAGGGGAGGGCAGCTGGGAGTTCATCTAGCACTACCTTTCTAGCCTGTCCCCCTGCCCCTCACCACTGCCCTCTCATGGCCTGCTTTGACTCCCTGTCACTGGGGGTGCTGCACGGACCCTCCCAACAAGACCAGGTCCTCCTCACGCTGGGCCCTGCACAAACACTGAGTCAGAGAAGCTCCCTGCTCCAAAGACCTTTTTGATCTACACAGGCGGAGTCTCCCCATTTCAAAGCTGGGGAAACTAAGGCCACAGCCTTCACTTCACCACTGCCCTCCCGACAGCCCTTTGTCAGTCCTCAGCCTGGCTTTGTCGGCTGTGTGGCCGTACCAATGGCCATTCTGTGTTGCATCCCATCCTCACCCCTTTGTGGCCAGGTCCCACAAGTTGTGGGCGGGGTGGTGTGGGGGAGGGGGATCTTAGTTTCCTATTAAACATCTCAGGGGTAATGAAAGTCTCCATTATTTTCTTTTGATCACAATAGTTCTGTCTGCAGGCCCCTCTGTGGTGGCACTTTGCGCATGGACCTTCCCCCCCTCGGCACTCAGCTCTGGGGGTCCTGTGGTCGCAGAGACTCTCACAAAGCCATTCACACTTGGTTTCTCACCCTCTGGGAACATAGCTGGCAGGGCTCTGCAAGGGTCTCTGCTACATTTGTCCAGCGCCCTGGAGCCCACTTTCCTCAGTGTTCCTTGCAGGCTGGTTAAAAAGCGGCTTCTGCAAAAGATATTTGTTGCCTGGGTCCTCTCCAATAAAAGAATGCTCTGCAGAGTGCAGGTTCTGCTGCCATATCCCCCTGCTCGAAGCAGTGGGATGTCCTCAAGGAGAATCCCCAATGGCCTTTGACACATGGATTTGTGTAATGTCTGCTGGCTGCCCAACTGCTGCTAAATGTTGGGCAGGGTGCTGCTTGGCTCAGGACTACATTTCCCATAGTGTATTGCAGTCTCATGCAGTGCAATGCCTTCTGGGAATTGTAAACTTTCTCCCCTTTAGCCCTCTGAGTGCTGGCAATGGGCTGGTAGTGATCTATTTCAGAACTACATTTCCCATTATGACCTGGCCTAAGCAAGACTGGAATGAGCCCATTGTATGTTGGGAGTTATAGTCTGATTGCCACTCCCGCCATTGTGCGAGGTAAGGGAGGTTTTAGGACAGCCTTTCCCATGGTGCACTGCTGCTAAGGCTGAATGGCTGTAGAGTTGCAGGGGTTGAGGCCTGAGTTGCCCCAGGGGGAGGAAAAGGGAGCTGGGAAAGCATATCCCAGCATGCATTGGGTCTCCTAACTGGGCAATACCTTCTGGCAGCTGCCCTCTTCTCCTGGGCTAAGTGCCACACAAGACTACAACTTCCACAGTGCTTTGCAGAATATAGGCACCATCCCCATAATGCAACACGGTCTCCGTTTCCACCCCCAGGAGTTTGCCGCTGCAATGCCTGTCGGGAACTGTAGTCCACATTCTTGCTCATGGATCAGTTACATGACGCTGCGGACTCCATACCCCATGATGCCTTGGGGCCAGTGTGTAACACAATGCCTGCTGGGAGTCTCTTTCATGCTACTGAAGACACCAATCCCAGAATGCACGGCGTCTCAGCAAGTGGAGCAATGCCTTCTGGGAGCTGAAGAGTGCACGGACTACAATTCCCATGGTGCACTGCAGCCATGCCACCATGGACTCCAATCCCCATGATACAATGCGGCATATCCCTGCAGCTTGTTGGAACCGAAGTCTGCTGGGAGCTATTGTTCCTCCTCTCCTAGACTCCATCCCCCAGGGTACGGCGCGGCCGGGCCGAGAGCTAAGCCGCAATGCCTGCTGGGGCTTGCGGTCGCGCTCGGCTTTGGCCAATGGGCGCCACTCCGCCCCGGATTTTGTCCCTCACGGTGCCCTGCGGCCGGGCCGGGCTTGAGGCGCAATGCCTTCTGGGGGTCGTAGTCCCAACCCCACTGCGGCCAATGGGCGCCGCCCCCTCCTGGACTCCATCCCCCAGTGTGCAACGCGACCGGCACGTGCCCAGAGCGGGGCCGCAATTTCTGCTGGGGGTCGTAGTGCCGATGCCGCTCTAGCCAATGGGCGCCGCCCCCCCTTGGACTCCATCCCCCCGGGGACCCCGC